TACCAAAAGTGTCAATGACATAATAGTTGGAGGACTAAAAATAGAAACCACTCGGTGAGCTTATGTAATTTGTTAAAGTAACAAATTCTCTTGCTTTAAATAGAAAAAAAATACTCACTCCGTCTCTTAAAACTTTGTCAACTTTATTTTTTTGATTGTTCCACTAATTTTGTTACTTTCTTTTTGAATAATGAATTTGTGGTTCCAGTTAATTCTATCTCTTATATACAAAACTCAATCATATTATTTTTACTTTATTAATTTTCGTGCCGTTCAAATTTAACGAAGTTTTAAAAGACGAAGGGAATAAAAAGTTGTACGGAGTGCGAAGTAGATCGTATTTTTTTTACGAGTTTTGCTAGAGGTACCTCAAAATGTACCTCATTTTTACTTCATCCCCTAATGTGTGACCATAAATGAATCAATTCATTTAAGTAGTGCCCCACTTAAATGAATTGTCTCATTTATTGTCACACATTAGAGGATGAAAGTTAAAATGAGGTACATTTTGGGGTACATTTTTTTTTACAAGTAACTAATTTCCTTAATCCGTAATTCCCGACAGTGAGAAAAAAGTAAACAGGTGAAGGGGAATTGAATCAGAAAATGGAATGGAAAAAAAAAGAAAATGGAATGGAATAGGACTAGGAGCAATGCCCTTCTTTCGGCTCAATCCGTATGTGGATAGAATAGATGGGATGGGCCATTACTATTCGCAGGCTCGACCCACGTTGATTTGACTCGCTCCCATTCCATTCCAAACCCGTCTAGTTTCGGCATTTTTTGGATGGAGGGCAACAAATTTTTGTACTTCCTGTTTCTGTCATGTGGTCATTTCATTTCTTTTTTTCTTTAATTTGTTGCGTAATACTCACTCCGTCCCATATTTAATTCCGGTTTTGACCCGGCACGGTTTTTAAAATAGTTGGATTTGTGTGGTGGAGAGTTATGCAGAGGAGAGAGAAATGTGTAAGAATGGTTGTGAACCACATATTCTTTACCAAAAAAGGAAAAAGGAGATAAATTTGGGACGAACCGAAAAGGAAAGAATGAAGATAATTCCGGGACGGAGGGAGTATAAATTTTATATTCATAGTCCAAATTTTACAAAATTTATATCATATTTAATAATTTTTATGATCTTTTCAATTGTATCAAATTATATACCGCCTCCGTTCTACAAAATAGTTCCCAGATTCCTTTTTGGATCGTCCCAAAAAATATTTCTCATTTCCCTTTTTGAAAAGTTTTGTATGGTAACAATTCATTTACTTTTTTCTTACCCATGCACAACCATACATTTCACTTTATTCCCATTTTCTTAAACTTCGATCCAAATCATAGTTGGAACCATTTTATGGGACGTAGGAAGTATATAAATTGAAAAAAAACATATTTTTCTAAATATTTGTTTTCAGTTGAATTTTTTTAATTTTTCATTTGCAATATTAGTACCATATTAAACACCGTAAAAAATAACAAATTTTGATATATTTATTTAAAAAAAATGGATTAAGAATGAAAAAGTTAAAAAATTAAAAAATAATAAACAATTGTCTTGCCACATGGCAGACAAGTAGGGTGGGGTTCACCATCTTTTGAAAAATTACTATAAATGTAAAAAATATTTTAATCATAAGATCTCAAATTTACGACTTAGAACTATTTAAGATAAAAATTGAGTGAAAACATTCAAGAGTTGAAACTTTATAGTTTTATGTAATTTATATATGCAAATTGATGACATATGAAAATAATAAAATGTTATAAATTTTGATATATTTTTATAAATATTAGATACAAATAAAAAAGGTAACACTTTGAAAATATAAATTTTATATTTTCCCCTATTTCCTCCGTGCTGCTATGTGATAGCCCTTTCCTTTCCCTTTTTGGCACCTCTATACTTTTGGGGGGTTGGAGCCCCTTCCATAATGGTCAATAGTCTAAAATGTTAAATGTGGATTTCGTCCATATAAAAACATTGTTTAGATTCTAATTTTTTGCATTCCACCACCGTTAATAAAGTACTCTCAACACGTTTTTTACATATCAATTTAGTAAAATATCAATTAAATTATTATAAGTATGTTTTATGTTTAATTTGTTCCCTAAATAATTATGAAATAAAAAAGAGAGGTTTACCTAAATAGGAGTAAATAAAAGGATAATTGCAATAATAGAACTTTAAATTCCCAAAATAGGACTAACTCTTCCTATTCTACCATTTACTTTGTCTTTGATAATAGGATTTTTAAACAATCATTATGAAATATAAAAAAATCAAAATAAAAAGAATAAAAATCGTAAAAAATAATTAAAAAACATATAGACCCCAACCACCACCTCAACCACCTTCCAGCACTGCCACCTCCACAGTGGTCTTTCAATGCTATCCACTATGCGCAGTCCACTAACAAAATCTCGCAACCATAATGCCTGATTGGATGCCAAATAACATACTATAAACTCTGCTTCCATGGTGGAAGTAGTTGTAAGAGTCTGCTTGATACTTCTCCAGGAGATAGCTCCTCCAGCTAAAATATAGATGTAGCCTGAAGGGGATCTCAAGCTATCTTGACATCCAGCAAAATCAGAGTCGGTATACCCAATGATCTCAAGCTGATCCGATCTCCGATATGTGAGCATATATTCCTTTGTTCTCTGTAAATACCGCATGACCCTTTTGGCTGCTTTCCAATGGTCCATTCCCGAATTTCAAATATCTGCCTAACATCCCAACAATGTATGCCAAATCAGGTCTTGTACAAGCCTGGGCATACATCAAACTTCCTACAGTCGAAGCATAAGAAATGTTCCTCATTTCTTTAGATTCAAAACCATTCTTAGGGCACTGCATGAGACTAAACTTGTCTCCCTTAAAAACTGGAGTATCTCCTGGTTTGCAGTCTTGCATACCAAACCTTTTGAGAACTTTATCGATATAGCTCTTTTGTGAGAGTCCAAGAATGCCTTTGGAGTGATCTCGGTGTATTTGAATTTCTAATACAAAAGAGGCCTCACAAAGATCTTTCATTTCGAAATTCTGTGAAAGAAATCTCTTAGTTTCGTGCAATAACCCTATATCGTTACTAACAACTAGCAAGCAATATGTCATCAACATACAAGACCAGGAAAATATGCTTACTCCCACTGAACTTGTGGTATATACAATCATCACTAACGTTTGGTTGAAAACCAAAAGATATAATGACTTTATCAAACTTGTGATACCACTGACGAGAAGCCTGCTTGAGCTCGTAGATGGATTTCTTTAATTTGCAAACCATTTTCTTTGAATCTCCTGAAACAAAGTTTTCTGGTTGCTCCATATAGATTTATTCCTCAATACCACCATTAAGAAATGAAGTTTTTACATCCATCTGATGAAGCTCAAGATCAAAATGTGCCACTAATGGCATTATTGTTCTAAAAGAGTCTTTCAAGGATACCGGAGAGAAAGTCTCTTCATAGTCAATTCCTTTCTTTTGAGTGTAGCTTTTAGCAACAAGACGAGCTTTAAACCTTGTAACATTGACCTTTGAATCCCTATTGATTTTAAATATCCATTTATGACCAATGGGTTTAATACCTTCAGGCAATGAGACTAGCTCTCAAACGTCATTGTCACTCATATATCGACTTTATCTCATCTTTCATGGCATAATCCATTCTTGAGAGTTAGAACTTTCCATGGCTTGACGGAATTTGATTGGATCATCTTCCGCAAAACCGACGTCTGATTCTTGTTCTTGGAGGAAGACAATTATTTCTTCCACCAATTCCCAATTTCCCTCATGTTCTTGGAGAAATACAATATAATCATCCAGAATTGCACTTCTCCTCTCTCGAGTGGATCTCCTTAATGGCACCTCAGGTTCTTGAGGTTGTTGAGTTTGATACTCATTAATAATTTTAGGTACTTGATTGGGGATGTTTTCAAAATTGTCCTGAACTGGAGTTGTTTCTTGAACATCATTAGGAATAAAAATATCTTGATCATGTTCAATGACAACTGAAGGAAGAGTAACATGCTCTTCCTCAAAGACAAAATCTCTAACCTTATCTCCCCACCCCCAAACTCAATATCCTCAAAGAACCGGGCATTACCCGTCTCAAAAATAGTCCTCGTAGTGGGATCATAAAACTTATACCCCCTTGACCTCTCAGAGTATCCTACAAAATAGCTACTAACTGTTCTAGAGTCTAGTTTCTTTTCATTTGGCCTATAAGGCCTTGCCACAGCTGGACAACCTCAAACATGGAAATGATTTATACTGGGTTTCTTTCCGGTCCAAATTTCATAAGGGGTTTTAGTTGTAGCTTTAGTGGGAACTCTATTGAGTATGTAAGCTGCAGTTTTCAGTGCCTCTCCCCAGAGTGAATCTCGTAAAGTATTATGACAAATCATACTCCTAACCATGTCCTTCAATGTTCGGTTTCGTCTCTCAGCAACACCATTCACGCTAGAAGTTCCTGGCATGCTGTACTGAGTAACAATTCCACACTCCTCTAGGAATTTAGCAAATGGCTCTGGACGTTGTTCACCGGAACCATCATATCTACCATAGTATTCACCACCATGGTCAGATCTAACAGTTTTTATTCTTTTGCCTAATTGATTTTCAACTTCGGCCTTATAAGATTTGAACACGTCTATTGATTGGGACTTTTCATCAATGAGATAAAGGTAACCATAACGAGAGAAATCATCTATGAATGTGATAAAATATGTTTGACCATTTCTACATGGTGTAGGGAATGGTCCACAAATGTCTATATATATCAATTCTAATAGATCTGAAGCTCTCTCGGCACCTAATCTCCGTTTGTTTGTTTGTTTTCTTTTAACACACTCAACACAAATATCCGAATTTGAGGAGTCAAGGGAATCAAGAATTCCATCTGACACAAGTCTCTGAATTCTTTCTTTAGAAATATGTCCTAGACGCTTGTGCCAAAGTGAAAACGAATTCTCATTGGTTAATTTTCTTTTAGTACCACGAGTACTTGCATTCAAGGTTTCATTATATGAGGTATTTATATCAAGTGAATATTGATTATCATAAGCTGATAAAAGACCAGTACCAATAAATTTTGAATTTTGAAATAGACTAAACTGACTATTTCCAAATGAACAAGAATAACCAAATTTGTCCAATGCAAAAATAGAAATTAAATTCCGCCTAAATGACGGCACAACAAATGTCTCTTTCAAATCCAAATAAAAACCAGTCTTTAAAAATAATCTAAAAACACCGATAGCCTCAACTTCAACCCACTTGCCATCACCGACATAGATGTATCTTTCACCATCAATTGGTTTTCCGCAGCTCAGGCAACCCTGCATAGATACACTTATGTGAGTAGTAGCACCGGAATCTACCCACCAAGTGTCTTTGGGTACCGAAGTTAAATTAACCTCACAACAAACAAGAGCAAGAGACATATCCTTTTTCGCACGCCAGACGTGGTACTTAGTGCAGTTCTTTTTCTTGTGATTAGTCCCTTTGCAAAAGAAGCATCCAGATTCCTTAGTTTCTTCCTTAGTTTCCTTATGATGCTTTCTTTGAGGCCCTGAATTTACAGCTTCCGTAATTGTCCTTTTCTTGTTGCCTTAGAGGTAGATGCCAAATGAGCACTTTCAGTTTTATCTTGCTTTATTCTCTTTTACTCTTGAACACAATGAGAAATGAGCTCATTGAGAGACCATTTCTCCTTAATGCAGTTGTAACTGACTTTAAATTGATTAAATTGAGAAGGAAGAGAGATCAAAACTAAATACACAAACAAATCCTCGGGTAAAATAAGCTTTAGTGCACTTAGTTTTGAAGCAATGTGAGACATTTCCAAAATGTACTCCCTTATGTTCCCTTTGCCTTTATACTTCATGGAAACAAGAGTGCTCAAAAGATTACTAGTTTCCGCATTTTCGTTTTTAGCAAAACGCTTTTCAAGTTCAGCAAGGATTGATTTGGCATCAGCCTCATCAGACATTGTGCCCCTGAATGATTATGGAATTGCACGTTTTATGATCATTAGACTCATGTGGTTTGAGCGTTCCCACCTCTCCATCTCCCTCTTTTCATCAAGGGTAGATTTGTCCTTAAGAGTGGCAGGTTTCTTAGTCCGAAGTGCAAGGTCTAGATCCATGCAGCCGAGAACGGTCATAACGTTCTCCTTCCATTTCTTAAAATTCGTGTCGTTAAGCACTGAGATGCTATTAGTATTAGCAGATATTGTAGCAGCAGAATTGTTGACTGAAAGAGAACAAAAATAATATAAATGACATGCTATAGGAACTAAAATTAACTTGATAATTAATTTTAAATATTAGCAATCCCCATCACAAGATACCCAGCGCAACATCTAATCTTGTCTTTGGACATAAATTAGACTTGCAAGTGGTACTCTTGGTGTAATAATAAATTTTGATAATAAAATCATGTCAAATACTAAGCCTTTCTTTGGACCGACTTAATATTCACATGAAAACCTCATAATTATCACAAATTTTATTATCAAAAATGTACTTAAATTTCGGCCAAATAATAACCTTCCTCTGGACCGATTATTATCCGCATGAAATAAGAAAGTACACAATCATCTTAATACATAAGTTAATTAATATCAACAAGAGAGACTACTTTGGCAGCATGTTGTGTCAATTAACCAACCCAAATATTAGACATGCTAATATTAAATCAAAAAAACTGGAAAATAAAATTGGGCGAATTTTTCTGAGTCACATGCAAATGTATTATGTACAATGATAATTTGTAAAACCCGTACCCAATCATTGTGCGATCACAAAATAGGGTTTATACATCCCATAACACACAATACATATTTTTCAACCCGTAAATCATTATCACCAACAAAAGTAATCTATTTCAGAAATATCCAAATATGCAATTCTAATAGGACTGATATTTGCCGTAATTACATATAAATATTTAATTACCAAAACAGGTAATCTTAATTACCAAAAACCGAAAGAAAATTTCACTGATTCTTCTATATCTCGATAACCTTTCAAAGATGAATACATGGTTTCACTAAATATAATACTCCGTATTCAGTAATATTTTGATTACCAATTACTGTTTTTTTTTTCAAAATCAAAATGAATATGATAAATTAGCTACTGAATCATGCACCTTTCAAAAATTCATCAATCGTAAGATTGACTAGTCCAATCAAACAAAATTCAAAAAATTAACTATACGGCACTACAAGATCGGCAACGAAAAGAAAAAAAGAATTACAGGCTTCGAATCAATTGAGTTCCGGCCGAAAGAAATAATACAGCAAACCACATCATTCAATATAGAGCTAATCGATCGTCATATTAGCAAAATCCAATCGTTTTGCTTAATGATTAACTACCGATATGATATGTGAATAAATCAGGAACGAATTGCATAAAAGCAAAATCGCATTACCCTTATTTCAATAAATCGGTAGATAATACTAGCTCCAAATAATTCAATATGAAGTAGTCTCTGATACCAATTGTTGGAATAAATCCATGAATACTTTAATCTTCATATTAGAATTATCTAGAAAATAACTTAGCGGAAGCGTACCTGACTCCATGGGAGATGATCTTTAGGGATCCGGAGACGGAGGCTAGGGTTTGCATCTTCTAGCTGATACACACCCTCGTGAATTATCTCTCTAGTGATGGGATGCAGAAAGACGCAATGACGTGTTCAACTAGAGACCATAACCCCTTATTTATAGAGTGTTTAACCCTAATCAGCCCATCATTGATTAGGTTAAGCCCATGGGTGTCTATACATTTGGGCCTTATACCTTATTAGATAACTTATTAGTCCACTTAAATTAATATCCATAGGACCACTAATTTTTGGGCCTAAATATAAGATAACATATAACATACAATTAAACTCAATAAATAATATACTGTGAATAATACATGTAGTATGAGTCCAATAATCTAACATTCGAACCTTGGTCAATGTTCCAAATTTTCCACTGCACCACTCAACCAACTGAGTTGCCCGTGCGAGTTCTTTTGTTTTTTCCTTTACCCACACTTCTGTCAATCCACCCTCTAAAGATACACTCCTCCATCCACTGCTACTCTTAACCCCTCTTTTAACACACCACTACACTAAATTAGGAGGCCAAAATTTCCAACTTTAACATTTTGGACTCCTGATTTAACATCACTACAAATGGTCTTAGGTTGTACGCTATGGTAAGATCATTTGGAGATGGTCTTGTATTAGGAGTCCAACATATTAAAGATGTAATTTGTGGACATCTAATTTCGTATATTGGTAAACTAAAACAGAAAATAAAAGTGAGAATGGGAATAGAGGAGATCAAATATGAATGATGGGTTGGCGGTGTGAAAGAAAATGGAAATTCGAAATAAGAAAAGGGAGAGTGAGGTTGGGTGGTCCGCTGTCCGTAGAAGGAAAAGGAGATAAGGGGCTTTGGTGACGTGTAACACCCCAATTTCCCTCCCGGAATAATACTTAAAGAAATAATAATTTTTTTATTATTTATTCGAGACTTTCAACTGTTTGCTGCAGAAATAACAATAACAAGGAAAGGGGACGTGTTACCGCCACACCCAACCCTCAACTGACTGGATGCTAATGCTAACCACCATAAATGTATCTAAAGTAAATATTAAATTCGACATTTGAAATAATGAAATTTAATAAAGTTTATTCTTAATGAGACTGCTCTAAAAGTCTTATAGGAGTGCTCTCAAGGCATCAATCTTCATATATCACATCATCTGTAACATAGCAAAATAAAAAAAAATAACACAAAAATTAGCTTATGCTAAGTAAGCCCCACCCAACCCTGTAAAATAATATGTTTGGTGAAAATAATATTTGTATAGTATATATACGAAAAAGGAGTTTTTCTTTTAATTGTTGAATTCATGGTGTAAAAATTATGGTCCACACTTTCTTTTCATAAAACAATTTTCTCAATAAATACTCGAACAATGTCTCCAAAAATGTAATTTATATTAAACTCCTAGTAAATTTGAAGGGCGGCGCTCAACATTTTATTGAGCCCGGTGATCCGTTGTTATGTACGGCCACCCCGGGACTTTTGCCGATACCACTTCTAACCTGAGGAAACTGAACATATACCTTAAGTGTGCACACCCCCTGAAAGGGATTCCAAGCCCTACGGGTAGTAAGAAGTCCAAGTAGTTCAGACGTCAATGTCCCTCTACTTCACCCAAAAGGGATTACCTTATATAAGTGACTAGGTTACTGCTACTACTGAATAACAGGGTCTTTTGCCCGAATCTAAGATATAACCATTCTCCATAGTCAAGGTCGTGGACACCGATATAACAACTCTTTACAAGTAACAAGTAATAGCAGCCCTAATCACTCTCCACAGTCAAGGTCGTGGAGGACACCGACACCCTGGATTTCTCTCGTGATGCTCTTACATTAAAAGGTTCATTTTATCTTTATTAATCTCCAAAAATTACAGGGGTTTACTACTCACATAACTTCCCCCGAAGTTATTCAAGAGTGCAACATAGCAAAAACATCACATATTGATAAATCACTCATCAAATACTCAAATAGCACAAATACATATTCATACATATAATACGAGGTAAAAATGCATTTTGGTTGACATGGAACTTACCTCAACTGCAATTACTTCTAATAAGCTCTCCACCCGACCTTTTTCCAAATTAACCTTCTATTAATTAAAATTCCACAATAAGTATATTATTCTATTTTTACATAGTTTTATTTGTTTTATTAGATCGTTAATATAATTACGTCCAGGCTATTCTGTTTTACTACTTTACTCGATTCGTGATTATTTATCAATTTGAGATTAAGCGTCGTAGTCTATTCATTATTTAATCCGTTATCTAATCATTAATCCGATACAATTATTTCATCATACTAGTTGGCCTGGTTATTACAAATAATCAGCCATGTAATCTTCCCGCTTTATTTTATCACGATGATCTATTTTATATTTTTATTAGGTGACCTATTACTATAATATATAATTCAATCGGTCCAATAGTAAAAGTTCCATTATATTTTAATTTCCTCGGTCCATTGCTTATCATTACAGTATTATTATTAACCTCACCATTATTAACTTCAATTTTAACAGATAAAACAATCGGCCTAACTCAGCTCATTAGTTGAGTCTAGTTTCATTTTAATAAAGCTGGCCCAAAAATAAATTGTTCAGTTATAACAACAATTCAGTTCATTATCACAGGCTCTAAATGTAGTTCTTTATTATATCTAATGATAATCCATTTCATTTTTATATTCGTTGGTGTATTTTATTATAAACCAGATGTCCATTTTATAGTAATTCGATAGGTGTAGTTTAAATAATCCAAATTTCTATTTTATACTAATCGGTCAATTGTTTATCATTAATCATTCAATTCTGTATATGTATAAACAATAACCGATCTATAATTATTATTATATTATTATTATCATCATGTTAACCTTTTTCGATTATTGTTGTCAGCATTTTATTTATTTTCGAACAGTTCATATAATAGGTTAGATAAATAGCCCAAACCAGTTTAGTTTTGATATTTCAGTCCATTCTCTACACATAGTACGTTACGTAGTTATATACGAAGTATTCCATACATTCGTTTGTCTTCTCTAATTTTTACGTACGTGAAAACGAAGAGAACGCAGAGGTTGTAACTTTCCTATGCCGGTGTTAGTCGAGTAGTACGGTGGCGGCAGTGGACGAGTTTCACGATGGCAGGACGGCGGCGGACGTCTTAAGACAGCGGATCGAGCAGACGCTTGCAGCTTCCCCTTCTTTTGGTGAGTTCCTCTTCCTCCGACGGCTCTAGGCTTTCTGCTCTAGTAACGACCTCACCTTCTCTCTCGAAGCTGAGAGTCTTACCCTCTCCTTTTCTCTCGTTTTCTCACGAAGTTTTCTCCTCTCTTTTGTTCTCTTCGAAGCAGTTCGTCGCTCGTGGGTTTGGTGTAGGTTATCAACGAAGTGATGCTGTTTAAATTTGTAGGTCGAAGGTTCTCGGTCCCTAGAAATTAGTTTTGTTGATTTTATCCGATTAGCCCCGCAATGCGTAGTTCGTTCAGCGATCTTATCATATCGCATGCAAAGTATTATTATTCGTATCATAAATCGTATATGCATTAAATCATGTCACAAGTAATTACTTGTGTGCAAAGTATTATTATTCGTATCACTTACTACGTATATTTGATTATATTTAAATTTGAAAAGTCAAACTCCTATATTATAATTACCTCATACTCATAAATCGTATATGCATTAAATCGTATATGCATTATTATTATATACGAAGTACATTAGTAAAGTTAATGGTGTTATTTTATTTTTAATGTATACTCATCACACTTTATTCAAACTATGAGAAGCACCAGAATTAAACAGAACATAAGCAGGAATGTTATTAACATGAATGGTGCCTGAAACCACGTCATGGGCCATGGATTGTGCCTGGTTCATTACGTAAATGCGGCCCTAATTTCCTTGATTGCCCCCGCCTTTGTTCTGGTTCTTATTTTGGTTGGCATCGTGGTCGCGGTTGTTATTGTCATGATTTCTCGGCCTATTTCCACCTTGATTTCCGCCTTGGTTTGCACCTCCTCGGTTAGGCCCTTGGTTTTGATGACCCGCCTTTTCTTTGTTTAGGCATTCGAATGCCCGGTGTCCCCTCTTCCCACAAGTGAAACAGCTCACCACCTTTCCATCACAGTCAACACCTGGGTGATCTCCCTGACACAACTTGCAATGGTAGTGCCCGTCTCTTGGCACGTATCGTTGTTCTTGCCTTAGACCCTGTCCAGGGAATCTCTTTCCCTCTTGTGGGCGATCTTCTCTCTTCTGCGTAGGTTGTTGGTCCTGCTGGTGAGTTTTGAACCTCTTCTCCCTTGCTTTATTCTCCTCCTCGTTCTTTCGGATTTTCTTGTGAGCTTCTCTTTAGAGTTGAATCACCCGATAGTATTTAGCAGCCCTATAATAGGTATCATCCAGTGTTTGGCATTGTTGCACACTCAAGGCCTTCTGTGTGTCATAGTTCAATCCCCTGATGAACTTGTCAATCTTGCTCTCCTCATCGGGTACTAGTAATGATGCAAACTCCGCCAACGAGACAAACTTAGAGTGATAGTCTTGCACCGTCATCTCCCCTTGCTTTAGATGCCGAAACTTGTCTTAATTTTCCGCCTGCACGTGTGGCGGGTAGAATCTCTTTCGCAGTGCACGCTTCAAATGTTCCCAAGTGAAGTCTGGTTGTGCGCGCAACCCTAGTCCCACATTAATCCACCATTTATCTGCTTCTTCATGCAGATAATAAACAGCAATGCTGATTCGTTGTTCTACCGGGCAATTAATTGCGTCAAACAGCTTGTCAAAGGTGCGTATCCAATTCTTGAGGATGGTTGGATCTTCTTGCCCAAGGAAGCTCGGTGGGTTTCGCGCTGCTACACGGGTTTCCATGTCGTTGCCGTTATTACATGGCTGGTTGTTTTGAAGTACCGCATTTGCAATAGTGTGAGTGAGTTGACTCAGTAGATGAACAGTTTGAGCCAACTCCGCGCTGGTGGGCACAACATTCAGGTCTCTTCTAGGTGGCATGGTGTCTCCATGAGATAATAAATACTTAGTATTAGCAAGAAATTTTCCTACTTTCCCTAGGGGTCCTAGAATAAAGAGTTCCATAGGCTATATAGCTCACAAAAATAAATTGTATCATGCATGCAATCACACACAAGATTCACAATTCACATAGGAACATTTTTTCACATAGTGTTGGTACATACCTTGGCCACTTTAAAATTTTGCCTTATTAGGCATTCCCTTTAACTTTTGGGGTTCTCATATGGGCCCGCAATCATCACAAATATTATCACATTCATGCAAAGAAAAGAATAATACTCACAAAGTCCTCACCACGTTCCCAGGAGGTTATTTCCTAGCTACTTTAATTTCCTAAAAATATTTTCAAAATCCCCATTTTTTGTAGGTATTAACTTACCTACGCCGGCGTTAGTCGAGTATTACGGTGGCGGCAGTGGACGAGTTTCACGGTGGCAGGACGGCGGCGGACGTCTTAAGACCGCGAATCGAGCAGACGCTTGCGGCTTCCCCTTCCTCCGACGAGTTCCTCTTCCTCTGACGGCTCTAGGCTTTCTGCTCTAGTAACGACCTCACCTTCTCTATCGAAGCTGAGCGTCTTACTCTCTCCTTTTCTCTCGTTTTCTCACGAAGTTTTCTCTCTTTTGTTCTCTTCGACGCAGTTCGTCGCTCGTGGGTTTGGTGTAGGTTATCAACGAAGTGCTGTTATTTAAATTTGTAGGTCGAAGGTTCTCGATCCCTAGAAATTAGTTTTGTTGATTTTATCCGATTAGCCCCGCAATGCGTAGTTCGTTCGACGATCCTATCATATCTCATGCGCAAGTAATTACTTGTGTGCAAAGTATTATTATTCGTATCACTTACCACGTATATTTGATTATATTTAAATTTGAAAAGTCAAACTCCTATGTTATAATTACCTCATACTCCGCACTATATATATACTATGGTGACAACTCCGGTACCCAATTAGAGCGAGAGCTCTCTGAAGCGGCGGAAACCTAGCGTGTCTAGGGCTTGTTTTGGCGGACGGCAGCGGTGGATTCACGGCGGCTGAGTTCCGATTACTGAAAGGTGAGTACAGGGGAAGGGGCAGTGGAGTTCTTGACCGATCCAGAAGGGTGGGGAAAGCTCCAATTGGTGAGGGCAGTCTCTCACGGTGGTTGTTGCCCGATTGCTCTCTGAGAGTGAGCGAAGGGGAAGGAGATGCGGAGTCTTCAGCAGCGGGTCCAGACGAGAAGAGGAGATCTAAGGTCATTCCAGATTTTTAGGCAATCGCGGACGATCTCATCGGGTTTCGGGCGTCAGCGTGAGGCCTTGGCTGCGTCAAGCAGTGGTTGGCAAAGTGAGGAGAATCCCAATGATGCGATTTCATCGATTGCAAGAAGTAGGAGTGGTCAGCGATTTCGGAGGAGCCGTGGATCTGCGTCAACTAGGGTTGCGAGGTATCGTTGTGCGATGCTTGGCTTGGCTTTTGTGACTTTGTTGGCATTTGAGAGGGAAGCTGCATCAACTATATTTGATCCGGGTGGAACATTAGCAGCTTGGGGTCTAATGAAAGGGGCGAATTTGGGATCTAGATTGCTGATGTGGTATGGAGCACTCGAGATTCATGTGGTGGAGAAAGAAGATGGTATGTGGATTGTACGTCCCCCTCCTGAACCACCGCCACAGAGGAACTGCGTGACTAAGATTGGGGAGACGACGCTTGAAGCATGGATTCCGCTGGTCCATCAACTGAAGTTTATTTACTTTTGCTATGTTCTACGGAGTATTTGCTAGTCTTTATTTAAATTTTATTAGACCAAATAATAAGGCTGGTAAGCTCTTAGTTGCTAGATTTCTGTTTGGAGGCAATCAGGGTGATTCAGCCGCTAAAAGTCTCGAAGCTCTCACATTTTCAGCGACTAGTCTCGCTCTTTTTGGGGTGGACTAATCTATGTCTGATAAAGGAGTGAGGGGGGTGAATGACTTATGGTTATTGTTGATTAGATGGAGGGTAGTGTCGGATGATTATTTTATTAGTTGCAACTCTTCTGATTGTATCGTTTATGAGTTTCACACTGAGAGTTTGATTTAATATAATATGCTAGTTTTCCTTTAAAAAAACTCCGGTACCAATTAAATAAATGGGGTACCGTACCTACCACTCAGTGGCGGAACCGGCTTCGTGATCTTGGAGGGACACATTACCTTTAGAAATCTATATACAAAATCGATTCATATGAAGTCTTTGTCAAACTTGAGTCTGACTATCCACAACCACAAAAAATAACAAGCTCAGTACATGGCTATAGCCCAAAATACACAATAGCAAAGCCGCTACGCCAGTCACCTCAAAACAATAATGCTCTCGATCAGGGGCGGAGGCAGAGCACTGGACCGGGCTGGTCCGGTACAAAGAATATTTTTAGAAAAAAATTTACACAAAATTTTTTACCTTAAAAATTAAGCCATTTTTAAAATTTGAGGTGGGCCATGGCCTAGGTTGGCCCACCCCTAGCTCCGCCCATGCTCTCGATCAGTCGCTAGACCTAGTGGTCATCAGCGTTATTCACTTATTCCGGCCTAATTCCAGCGAATTCCAAAGAAACTCTCTCAATGTAATCAACCCTCCAAGCTTCAACGTTAGTAGTTGAGCTCATAAACATATTACTTCCTTTGTTTTGTTAAGATTTTCTTACATTTTCTTTTCAGCCTGCCTCATTAACATTGATCAATATCAAATTTGATTGTGGTTCTAAATTATTTTTACATTCAAAAGTTGATTGTCGACCACCCTGTATAATATATATGTAGAGTCATTCTCCTGTCCGGCAGCCCCCGGTCCGAACGTCGTCCGAACACCACTATTTGGGGAGGTTCCAGGTGGAATTTTTTCATGAAATATTTTGAGCATGTTCCTCATCAAGTCTAGTTTATTCATACCAAATTTCAGCTTAAAATTCGATCACGAAGACAGTCAAACAATTTGTTGAAGTTAACTGCGCCAAATTATACATAGAAAAACGCAGTTAACTTCAAAAAATTATTTTACTGCCTTCCCGATCGAATTTTAAGCTGAACTTTAGTATGGATAAATTAGACTTGATGAGGAACATGCTCAAAAAAGTTAATCAAAATATTCCACCGGGAACCGCCCCAAACAGCGGTGTTCGGACGGCGTTCGGACAGAAACTTGCTGAACCTGAAAATTTCTCTCTATATATATAATAAAAAGAAATCTGCAGAGCCGTAAGGGCACAAGCACCCCCAAGCTCTAGTGTAGTTCCGCCCCTGCTACCACTCATTTGATTGGTTCAAATCATTACATCATTTTTAATTTAGATTTAAATAATTCAACTACATCATTCTGATTGGTTCATGTGGACAAAAGTATGGTACCTTAAGAGTACCATAGAATCTACCATATACTATACGTACATCTATGTTTTTTTTATTCTTCCTATTTTTACATAAATCGTATATGCATTAAATCGTATATGCATTGTTATTATATACGAAGTACATTAGTAAAGTTAATGGTGTTATTTTATTTTTAATGTATACTTATCACACTTTATAAAATAAAATGTTGCTTTTATTATCTCGGCCAAAAATCTAATCTGGTCAACTTAATTTTAGAAATGTTAATTTTCTAACATTTTACATTGATAACGTTTTGTCGGATTAAAATTATTCCTTTTATTTTATTTAAAGTTTTCGAAGTGATACAGACGTCCCAGTGATGTCATTAAACCACAATTCTTTTAAAACTCCTATAACTTTTTTTTTACTTTTTTATTCAATTTTTTTAAAAACTTATATCAAAATTAATGAAAGTTTATGATTTTTCTTATGACACCAAAATGTAATACGTAGTATATAAAATGAACCCGCACGGGTAGCTCAGTTGGTCGAGCGGTGGGAAAAATTGGACGTAGACCAAGGTTCGAATCCCGCATCGGCCAAAAGGAGGTTTTCAGAACCTGAAATAAGGCTGGCCCTCTGGTGCGCACGGGTAAAGGCCTACTGCCGCTTTGCCGACTGAGTCACCGTGATTTACTCCCCACCATCCTGTCGGGTCGGGGTGGGGGGCCCTTGGGGTTGGGGATTCAACCTTTTGGACGTAGTATATAAAATGAAAGACAAAATCTGAAGTTTTAACTATTGGAGTTTTCTTGAGCCCAAAACAACAAAACACAAATTTTTATTTGATGGAGCCTCCACAAATAGCTTAATATTCCACAATCAAACTTAATTTGAACTGAGTTCATTTTTTGTTAACCGAAAAATGTTAAAAAAAATTAATGAAATTTATTTATTTTTACATCGAAATTTGTATTGTTATTTCAGGGAAAGAACTAAAAGAAAAACATTACTTATAATAATTTAATTAATGTTTTACTAAATTGATTTGTAAAAAAATATGTTGAATGCATTTTATTGACGGTGCTGAAATGCAGGTAAATGGGATTCTAAACACTATTTCGTATGGATGGAATCCATCTTTAACATTTTGGCTAAAGGTGAAAACCGAATTTTTAGGGCATGTTTACTAACAGAGATATTTTCAAGTTTTCCAGAAAACTGGAAAACTAGAAAACAGAAAACAGGAAACGTGTTTACAAAAAAAAAAATGCTGGAAAACTGGAGAAAGGAAAACAGAAAAACGTGTTTACCAAACCGTTTTCCAAAACGAAAAAAATGAGACATGTCTCTCTTTTTCTTAATGATTTGGAGAAGTGACTTTTATTAATTTTCCAAATTTAGAAAACACAGATGCCACAGGCCGCTGCAATGAAAACCCATACTTCTAACCACTGCAGGGTAGGGTTAGGAGTATGGGTACACGTACGAGGTGATCGACCCCACATATTATATTACGTAGTATATATTTGTGTTCATGAATTTTTGTGTGTCTATATATGTATAAGGTTATTTTAGACATTTTAATGTTAAACGGTGTTTTAAACCTTTTGATGTAAACATGATCTTATAACATTGCTTATTTTATGCGTCGCTTATTAACGCGAATCTTAATAAGCACCATTCAGTAACCTGTGAAGTAACATGTCAGTCTTCTAGATGATCACAGAACTGGGTGAAAAAATTGATGAACATGTTTTCAGATTTGAAAATGAAAAACTAGAAAATAGAAATAGAAAATTGAAGATAGAAAAACTGAAAAATAAAAACAGAAAATTGGAGAACGAAAAACAGAAGTAAAAAACAGGAAAATATCTCTGTTATTAAACAGACTCTTATCTTTTCATCTCATAAAATGCTCCAGCCCATTGTACACGAGGGTGCTAAAATTAGTAAAATGGATTGGGGCACTCCTCGAGGGCTGAATTGCTTGACTATTGACGAAAGAGGAAAAGAAGTGTTGATGGGAGTGCTGGCCGCAGGTTACACAAAAACAGTGGAGACAATGTAAAGTGTTAATCCCAAATTGTTATAAAGCCTTATAACTTTTTATTTGTACTTTACTTTATATATAAAAAATATATATTACCTCCGTCCCAAAAGATTAGCTAATTTGACTTTTCTAAATCAATGGTGTTAAAATTTAGACAATGATTTTAGGTAGTACGAGTATTATATTTGTGTGTAATTTATAAATTTTATACTTTTATGAAAGATTTTTTAATAAAAATATGCTCATACAATTTTCTTACTTTAAATAA